CCCCCGGCCTCTCCCGCAGGTGACTCCCGGCGCACGCGCAGTCAGCCCGCGCGCTCTGGCCAGGCCAGCGAGGCTCCCCCCGCCCACCGCCCAGTCCGTCCCCTCCCAGCACTCCTCCCCGACCTCCGAAGTCTTCGCTCAGAATGGGGAAGGAGGGGGTTGTCTTCTTTTCTTGTTCTTGCCTCCGGAGTGCTTCATTTTCTGTAATGAACATACTTCTCTAATAATGAGATCTTACTTTTAACCAACTGAGCCACCCAGGCGCCCCTGAGATCTTACTTTTAAAGGGAGGCAGGCGGGCGGCTCATTTCTCTACCTTTCTTCATTAATCATAAAGCAACGTACCATCATGGATATGAGGAAAAAGGAAGGACTCCGGGTAATGGTGACCCCTCTCTACCAGGTCCCCCCTCTCCCCAAGCCCTGCAACTCTACAGTCATGGTCCCTGGTGAAAATCCTCCCTGTGCTGAGACACAGCCCAGAATGAAGTAGGGGGTGAGGGTGTTGGGGCAAACAGAATAGAAAGGAGAGGAAAAAGGGAACCAGTTGTGAGCAGGGGGAGGATGACCTCCCAGCCCCAGCGTCCCCCTTCCCCGACGCCCAGTGCTGGGCTCTCCAGGGAGTTGCCCCAGCCCAGGTCACGGATGGAGGAGAGGCAAGGCCCCCCGCTGTCTAGCCCAGCCTCTAATTGCACTGGCAGGACATATCTGCTTCTTAATTGGCAAAAGCCACAATATCCTGGTGGCTCAGGGAGCGCGGCCCTAATTTTATTTCTGCAGCAGCTGAAGGATAATTACCCTTCCCTATTGATGCTCCTTTTAATTCTTTCTCTTTTTGATTGAGAACTCTCCCCCTGTAGCCCAGCTCTCCAACCTTCGGTTTGTTATCTCCATCCAGAGTGGGGCAGGGCTTGCTGAGCCACAGAGGGGGGACATGGAGAAGACTGGCAGTGCCCAGCTCTGAGGCCCAATGCCTTCCAGCTGTTTAGCCCTCCCCATGAGAGGAGGGGCTCTTTTGCTCGTTATTATATTCCAGTGCCTACCGCAGAGCCTGACTCATGAAACTAGTTAGCAAAGAGGCAGAATTCAGAGACAGAGTTTGATCATGAGATGTGAATACAATAGCTTCATTTTCATTAGCTTTTTCCTAGCAGGACCAATAAAAGTGGACATGAGCCCCAGTTTTCTTAAATTCTTTAACCCTAGGCTTTTTCTGGGTTGGGTGAAGATGCAACTAGAGGGGTGCCTGGCTGGCTCAATCCGTGGAGCATGCAACTCTTGATCTCTGGATCATGGGTTCCCGCCCCACCTTGAGTTTAGAGCTTACTTAAAAAAATAAAAAAACAGAAAAGTTCCGAGCCCCGCCCCCCGCCGCGCTGCCCCACCGTCTGGCCCAGCGGACCCACGAACCGACAGATCCACGCACGGACGAATCTGCCCGCTCTTGAGAGCGCCATGTCTGGTTCCTCCAGCGTCGCCGCTATGAAGAAAGTGGTTCAACAGCTCCGGCTGGAAGCCGGGCTCAACCGCGTGAAGGTTTCCCAGGCAGCTGCAGATTTGAAACAATTCTGTCTGCAGAATGCCCAACACGACCCCCTGCTAACTGGTGTATCTTCAAGTACGAATCCCTTCAGACCCCAAAAAGTCTGTTCCTTTTTGTAGTAAAATGAATCTTTGGACGGTTTTCTAAACCACTTTTCATGAACCAGTGAATATTCAAAGGAGAACTAAAGTTGAAGCCTGTACAAAAGCTTATTATCCCTATAACACGTGCCATACTATATAAACTTCTACTTTTGTCAGTCTTTAACATCTACCTCTCTGAATTTTCATAAATTTCTATTTCACAAGGGTAATTATTTTACATACACTGGCAGCAGCATACAATAAAATACTTAGTGTAAAAGTTTTTTGGTTAAAAAAAAATAAAAAATAAAAAAATAAATACTTTATTTAAAAAAGATGCAAATAGCAAAGGAGGCCATTGCAGTCTCAGAGAAAAGTAACTTGAAAACATGACCTGCCCTTGAGCCCACCAGCTCCCTCTCCCCACTTCTAGTTTCTTTCCTCTGAATTTAGAGCCATCCCCTTGGCGATGCTGGTTTCCATGGTTTCCTCCGTGACAATGATCCCCAATCCCCTCCTCTTTTTTTCCTCCTGACAGTAATGGGTGATAGGGATCCTCAGTGTGGCCACTCCACGTAACCATGGTAACAATGAACTGAGCCTTCATTTATCTTTTGTGAAGAGAGCTAGGGAATAGAAGCTTTTGGAAGGAAGAGAAGGGGGAGGGTCCAGGGCTAGAGCTGCCGTTGTCATAAAGAGGAAGTTAAGGGATTGTCTTGATACTAGCCTGTAGGATTCAATTCAAACATTTGTTGAGCCCCTATTTTAAGCATGACTACGTTGTAGGGAATCAAAAGTGTACAAGATATAGCCCCTAATATTGAAGGGCTTATAGTTTAGTGCTGGGGATCATGGTGCCACTGAAATCCGGACATAGATCGGGCCATTAAGGGAGGTGGCCCTTGAGAACACCAACAGGATCAAGCATCTGTCCACTCCAAGCCTTCCCTCCAGTCAAGAACCAAGAAAAGACTGACCACGGGGGTCTGTGCTCACATTAAACCTTCTTCCAAACTGTTGTCAGAGTTTCTGTCTTGGAAAGGGAGGAATTTTATGCCCCTTTCTTTTACAGAAGTGTAGGCTAATGGCAGAATCCCCAAATAGGACTATTTGGTGCAGGGAGAAAGAAAGAAAGAAAAAAAAAACATACCTGCCCAATTCCAGTGCCACAAGGGGCTGGGATAATCTCTAGTGTCAGGGATCACCATCATCTACCTGCCATAAGCCTTCCTAGGAAATGATGTATCTGCTCTTACACTGAACTGGAGGGTCATCATCTCCATCCATCCGGATTTTTTACTTGTCACTGAAAATGCAAGCCAAAGCAGTAGCTATGAAGAATTAAAGTAGAAAAACAACACTACCAGGGACACTAAAGTTGGACAGAATGAATCCAAAAGCTGAAATACATGTTCATCATAGGTAACGCACAGCTCTTCCGTCTTCTAGCTTCCCCTCCTCACTCCCGAAAGTTTTCACTAAATCCCTAAGGGTGGAAACCAATTCTGAACTTCTAGGAGAAATCACAAAGATTCCCTGGGACTTTTTTTTTCTTTTTAAAGACTTTTTTTTATTTATTTGACACAGAGAGAGAGACAGCAAGCACAAGCAGGGGGAGCAGCAGAGGGAGAGGGAGAAGCAGGCTCCCCACCGAACAGGAAGCCTGATGTGGGGCTTGATGTGGTGCTCCATCCCAGGACCCTGGGATCATGACTTGAGCCAAACGCAGACACTTAACCAACTGAGTCACCCAGGTGCCCTGTCCCTGGACCTTTCGTATGCTGATACCAATAACCTGCACTGACTTGGAAAGATGATCAAGATATGTTTTTAAACGAAAAGAAAAATCTATAGAACAATGTATTTTTTGTTCAAGAAAGCTACAAATAACTAGGTAGCAAAATTCGTTCTTGCAAATCAAATGCAATCTGGATTAGTCAAAGTTCCTGGGTCCTAGAACTCTGAGTTCCATCCTTTGCTACTGGATGAAACTAAGGCAGATTCAAACATTCTGGGCACCCTGTTCGCTCAGCTGGTCAGAAAAAGCATAAATGGCATCCTCTGATTGGTTGACAAGGCAATACAAACTAACCAATGAAATAACGCTTCTCCTTTTCTGGCCAATAAGATCTCAGTTCTCTTCTTCAAAGTAGACCCTTTGTCCATAAAGAAAATGAGCAGAAAGGGAATAATAATTTAAAAAAAAACAAAACAAAACACTGTTGCTATGGGGCTATGGGACATTATTGATGTGATCAATGATAGCTGCCCCAGAGAACTCATAAAGGAGGCACTTCTTTGGGAAGAAAAGTACAAAAAGCAGACCAGCTGCTGGTCTGTATTAAAAAGAAGTTTCTATAGTATCATGTGAGGGAAAAGAATTTTAATGTAAATCTCCCCCAAACTAGCCAGTCAATGGAGGGTTATTTTGACCTTCAACTTAGATTGAACTTATAATGATTAATTTTTTTTACATTAGCAATGCGTGAAGGAAAAGGCGAGGAAGAGAAAATGAAACATGTGTTTACTGATGCAGAGCATCAGATAATGATATGATAGTTACTGCCTGAAACAGAGATTTCCCTGTTGTAAGTCATAGCTCAGTTTAAAACAAGGTTTCGTTTTGGAAAGGGAAAGTTCATGGCTCTTAAGGAAAAGTATTCTAGGTGAAATAGTGCACAGAACATAAGCTGTCCTATTAACTTACTAGTGATGTCCCTTGAAATCATTCTGAGACTGTTAGAAATGCCTTTGGGAAATGATGGGTAAAATGATTTCCCACAGATACTACAAATGAACACAGGTGGATAAGGCTGACATGAAAAATGGAGTCAGTGTTTGTCAATCAAGGGAAAGGAAGGAGATCAGAGGATTCGAAGCATTGAGTGCTGCATTTGCTATGAAGGCAGGCTGGAGAGGAAATGAAGAGAGGAGACTCTGGTGGAATCAAAGGCAGGTGATGCCAGTGGCAATTTGCTAAGGAAGCGACATTTCTACCGACCTGTACTGTGTGGTCTGTGGGGAGAAGTGAAAAGAGGGGGTGATCTAGAATTCAGCCCCCTTCCCATGGCGGGTGTTGTTTAGGGAGGGACGAACCACTGCCAAACCAAGGAGAAACACTCTCTGTACCAGAGACACTTTTGGACAATTTCCCTGGCTTCCTGCCATTCATCCATGAAGAACAAATATGTTTTTCTCATTTAAAGGGGAAAAAAGGGGGGAGGGGGAGAAGATTAGCCCCTCTGTCTAAGGGACTAAATGAAAAAAAGAAAAAAAGAAAAAGAAAAAGAAAAAAGCCCTAATTGTAAATCCCAGAGAAAGGGCAGAGTAGGATAGGATTACCTCAGTGAAGGGGGCGGGGGAGAGTGGGAAGGGTTGCCGTGGTGGAAAGGTAGCTGCTTCGCCATGAACCTTGACTTAAAAAGAAAAATTCACTTTCCAGGATTCCCTTTTAAGCTCCTGGGATTTGACAGGACCGGTTGTGACTTCCATCCAGCCCAGGGAAGGCAGGGGCTCCCCAGCAGATAATTTAAAGAATCAAGGTGCTCACGGATAATCAGTGGCCAAAACCCCTCCACTCACCGTTACCAAGGCAACAGGAGGCTGGGGCTGGTTGCCGGGTAACCACACTCTGGCGCCCGGGTCCTGTCCCCTCTTCTCCTCCCCCACCTCTGTTAGCCCTTTTGTGATAACGTCTTCCCCTCCGTGGCTTTTTCCCTCTCTGGCTAAAGAATCATTCTGTTTTTCGTGTGAAGGGCACACTCTAGGCTCCCTTGGCTAAAATTGAGGACCTTGATGTTCATTTCGGACAGATTTCACCTACACCCAGATATTCTGACCCAGATCAAATGTGCTTCTTACCTCGGCCTCGTATCTTCTCCCTCCTTCCCTTCCTTCATCCGCGCTGGGGCGTTCGGAGATTGCGGGGGCGGGGGGAGAAGGAAAAAGTGGGGGTGGCGGGAGCGAGAGAGAGAACAGGGCTAGGATGTGTTGATATTTTACAGCACAACAGTGCCTGGTGCTCCCGGCAGATCCACTGTCCAGCTTGCCCCTAAACTCACCTTTTCCAGGCGCGCCTCCTCTCTCTTCCGCACCCTCGGGCGCTTTGCACCAAGTTATTCCAATTGGTCTTAGAGAATGGGGAGATAGAATGCCTTCCTAGAATCCAACACCTACGCTGCTGGAGAAATGGGGAAGAGGAGTCCCTTCCCCCCCCCCCCCACCTCGGCGAACCCTGCCTCACCTCCTGGCCTCCACCGCGTGGGGGCTGAAGAATGATCGCCAGCGGAGTCCGGGCGCTGTCCAGCCTCTGGTGCTGAAGCTGGAGCCTCGGATTTGCCGTGGAGGGGCTCTGGGAACCTCCAGCTGCTGGTTTCTGACCCCCGAGGTCCGGACCCGAAGAGCAGGCGCCCTTTGCCGGGGGTAAAGGCGAGGCTAGGACGTGTCTGCAAAAGAAGTGCTTTTTCGGCAGACCGGGTTCCCTCCGGGGCGTAATCCCCTGAGCCTCTCCCTTCCCTTCCCCGAATTGTGTAATTATTTGCCATAATCGCGGCGGGCAGAAAGATCCCCTTGCACTGGGATGATTATCCAGTGGCTTCCCGGCATTCCCCTACGTTTTCTCCTTCGGCGCTGGGTTGCCTGGGCGTCCGCAGGCAGAATCCCGGGACTCCTGGCGCACAGATCTGGTGGCGGGCAAGGCTGGGAAGGGAAGCCTGGAACACCGAACCCCGCCGCTTTTCTACATGCAACAGGTCTGCTGCACCTGGTCTCCGAAGGGCAAGCAGAGCGGAGACCAGGTTGCTGTGGTGGGCTTGGGGAGTCTGGGTCCAGAGAGCGCGCACTCCCGAAGCTGGTGCTGCCCATCGCCTAGCGGGCGCCTGACCCAGCCAGACAAACCGCAAGCCCCGTGTCTTCGTCGTCGGGCTGGTGGGAACGAAACGCCCCCAGAACTCGAGCGGGACGGAGCACCCGGTAGGAGCGCTCAGCTGCCGGGCTGCGGAGCCGCCTCCCGCTTCCCAGGCGCCTGCTCACCGCCTTCCCGCCCCCTCGTGAATTTGTCAGCGGGCAAGGCACCTTTGGCAGGTGCTGAGGCCAACCGCCCCTCTCCTCCGGCCCTCCGAAGCGGCCCGGGGCGCAGTCTCACGAATCTCAGCTCGAGTTGGCTGCTCCTCGAATCCCGAGCCCTTGC